AATACTTCAATATCTAGTTGAAACTTGATGTCATGTCGACACCACTACTCTGTATGTTACATTTAGAGCAAAGAGCATGGAAATAACTATTAAGAATTTGTTCTTGAACGTCAAGTCGAGTGCTTTTCACTTCCAGTCTGTTTCTGAAACAAATGGAAATTGGAAAAAGCTCAGAAACGGTGGAGGATTTGGAGGATGATCTTTGATACCGTCCACAATGCTGAAAAACTGCATTGCGCTGGTTCAAAGGATACCGCAAAACCAAAAATTAATTTTACCGCAATACCGCAAAACCCAATGTCCCCCTCCCATAGTAACGTGGCATTGCAGCCACGTTTAAATCAAGAACATCCAATAGAAGAAGTAGAATCTAAATGGAACACTTCCGAATTGTACTTGAAATCAAGCTTTGGAAGACTGCATCCGATAAATTTTGAATTTCTCTTCCGCAATTGAAGGACTTTGTCTTCCGTGGTTATTTTAGGTGCAGTTCAAACTTGGATTTTTCCCTCTCAAACGCCGTTAGTTTCACTGGATTAATTACCTATTTTTCTTTCAGCCCCACATTACTAGCTGAGTATGCATATGTTTTAGCGGAAGGGGTAAGTCACTTGAAAACATTTTTTTAGGATGTTATCGTGTTATTAGGAAAAGCCAATGTAATATTAGGTTACTTAATTAACTGTGAGCAGTAACTATTAAATGAGGTATGTTTTCTTAACACAGTAAATTTTCTAAATAGACATGTACTCTAAGTTGTTCAGGTTGTTTCTAATTAGATGTAAACTTTCGTTCAAGCCATCTTTATTTATGTTTTTATAAGGGTCTTGTTTACACAATAACTGATGTTCCTGACCTGTGTGACTGGATAAAGAAGCATTTCATGGAACACCCGTTATTTGGGGCAGTCAGTGACGATGAGCTGGTAAAAATGAACACTAGTCAAGTAGAAAAGTGTCTCTAATGGGGAAACTCGGGGCTCTGGGGTTTTAATGAGCGAGATCGTCCGTCAATAGAGCTTAAAAACAGAGAAGCGAGTGAAAAAAATTTTAACAATAATTTTTAATAATTTATTACTTATATAGCGCAAAATACATGTGGATATGATCTATGATATGATTTCGCTAAAAAATTTAGGTAATGTGACCTCAGGTGCAACCGTGATTGAACGAGAGTTTCCGTTGAGTGAATTTTGACAGAAGTCAGTTTTAGATCTTTGTACATGCATTAAAGTCCCAGCCGAGGACTGCGCAGTATGCAATATATAAAGTTTGTTTCAATTTTCTGCACAGGCGCAGGATCCCGTCGTAGAAAAACTGTACCAAAGCACAGAGGAGGGACAAAAAGTTACTAGAAACAAAGGAATCAAATTAGTGGCTGTATTCCGACGGATTCGAGATCCGTACCTGACGTAACTAAGGCAGTATTTCCTCACCTAAATTAACCTTAAGTGCCAAGTCCTACGCGGTCGTGTGTCTTGTTGGTTCCCAAGCCTACCCGGATGGAATTGAAATGAGGAGAAATAGCTTGTGTCTCAGATTGATGACAAAGTAGGAACAGTGTCAGGGCTGCTGTCGGGTTAGAGAGAGTAATGAGACTTGTTGAACCCGAGAACTTAGGATTAATGGCCTCCATCTGACTCTATCTTCAGTTCACCACGCTACTTCCTATCATAACTGTTCTTAACTTTTTATCCCGATTGCTTGAAGCTGTCTATGGATAAATCTCCATCCGGGTGATTGCGCTGTACGTTTTAAGAACGCATCCACTGGATAGCGATTTATCCGTTGGATAGCATTATTCGACCCTTAAACAAATGGGCAATTGCGTGAGGACAGAGTGAGAAAGATGGTAACCTCCTTTTCAAAACTTGTAATATCCTTTTTGTCTAAAATGATTTGGTCGTTGTTGTTGCTGTTTTTGAAAATCATTCCTTGTGTCTCTTTTTTTCCCGAGCTAGAGCTCTTTCGTGGGTCTCTTAGTTGCTTCCATCCACAGACTAGAAATGATTCCTGTGAATGACGTTGTTTCTGAGACAAGTATCGTCACCAGAAAAGAATCCTTACGTGAAAGTTTTCCTTCGGAAATTTTTCCTTTAGTCATGTGCAGAAGTGTCGGTTAAAATGCTCTCCTAAGTCCTGTTAGCTATAGAATAAGTGAGCCCATCTATTGCGCCCTATTTCGGTTTAGATGAAAACTTCGAAATTTTTAACAGAGTGGTCATATGATAAAATGCTTTTTGACTAAGCTTGTGCGGGCCGACATGGAAAATATTTGGTTCTCGTTCAAGACGCGCGGACCGAGTGCATCATGACCACGAGCCAAAAACTTCTCCGTCCGGCCCGACCAACACAGTCAATAAGTAGTACATATTATTTAGACCCACTGTGTATCACCCGATTCCAGTTTAAGGCTACGTGCGAGTCGAATTCTCGTTTTCTGCCTGAGTTTCAGATAATGCAGTTTTCAGTTGAGTGTCCGAAATCTATAATCGCATTGGTCTTGCTTTATAAACACTCGCGTCACCATCTCGACCAATCAGAACTCTGTCACTTGAATTTTCCCGCGCTTGAAGATATTTACAAGTGTTCACGTATGTTCTGATTGATTCCTCGTTAAACTCACCTTTGCTCTGATTAGCTTTGGTTTCGCGAAACTTAATCTAAAAGCGCGCAGTCTTAAATAACATAACCTTACATTTTCTACTCTGGCTGGCAAAAAAACCTAAAAAAAAAGGCGTATTTTTAAGTCCTTCGCGTATCCATCTCTGATTTTCATCATCGTGTTATGAACCTCCACTGTGCCCTGAAGTTGGACGGAAAGAGTGCACAAACTCGGGGTAGTCGATATACCCATCGTCATTGCGGTCCTGGTCTTCTAAGATTGTGTCAACGAAAGTTGCCATTTCGTCCTCCGCAATTTTGCTTGACTCGTGATCATCTTAAATAAAGCAAGAAAAAAAAATTAATAACTAATGCGTCCATTCAATCGAAGCTTCAACATCCCCCCTCGGGCAGCCCCCGGCAATTTGAGCTTTTGAAGATTGCATTCAAATTACGCACTCCGGGAATAAAATTGTGTTCAAATACCCCAGCCAATTTTTTTGTGCAAGGCAAATCAGCGACCGAGACTTTCTACTAAGGGAATATACACAGTTTATGTTTCCTTGCTTTCTTTGCTCGTGAAAGTTAACTATTTACCTTTAAACACATCCATACTATTTAAAGATATAACACCTGTATTCCCCTGGAAAGACTTGACATTCCCGCTTTAAATTCCCTACCCCATCCCATTTATTCAAGATAATTATGGGCACAGACGACGGTCAAGTGCCTGTGAGTTGCCCGGGGAGAGATGTTGATGCTTCGAATTGATCGGTGCAGAAGTCCTTATCACGACTGATGCCATTTCCTGCATCTCAGAGGAGAGCATGGACAGCGCGAGAAAATTAATTTAAAGTGAAGGTGCGAACGATAAAGTCATGCGCACAGTAACTGTAACACACAACCTCGGCCTGTACCTCTTCCAGGAAGGCTGTCTGGTGTGTATGCACTAAATTCAAAGAATGCAGGCGTGAATTAAACTTCAAGTTGTAATCATATCTGCGTGAAACAGATATTTACCAAAGATCCTCTCGGAAAGCGAGAGCCTGCCTAGATTGCAGATTAACTTATTCACATGCGCGTACCTTTCTCGTCCTGGGAATGGTCATGATGCGAGAGACCTTGAAACAACTCAAGACCATCCAACTTGCTGTTATTATCATAGTCATGCATCAAGAAGAACTGAACCTCTCCCTTGGTTTCCTAAAAAACCGGTAGAGGCAAAAGGTTTACTGCGAAAATTAAGGCTGAGGTACAGCAAAAGTGTTCTACATGGGAGGACGTGTGTCTTATGGTGGTTTACCAATAGAATCTGTTGATAATTGCTATGCATATGCGAATCTTCTTCAAACTTATGCAATTCGAAGAGCGCTTTCGAAAAGGTCCTTAACCGAAGGACAATTTATCTGGATAAGTGTAAACAATATGCCAAAGCGTCGAAAGAAAAACGGTTTTCAAAGTCATCGGGCGTGGCGTGAACCATGGGGCTTGGTAGTTTGTAGAGTGATTCTGCGGGCGCTCATTCTCTTTAAAGATAAACAGCGTCATCTCATATTTCTGTGTGACGCATTTCATAAAAATAAACATCGTACTTACATTCAGGTATTTGATTGCTGCTTCTTCATCCATTCCCATTTGTTCCATCAGATGTTCCTTTAGATGGCTGTAAAGTACATGATGGCGACATTTCTAATTGAATTCTTTCCGTGTTTAGGTTTAAATGTTAACTAGCGTTTTTCAGCTACGTTTTGCAAAACTGAGAAAGGTATTGCCTGAGAAAACTTTCCGAAGAAACAGGTTGTAAAAAGCCCACACGAACGCTTCATCCTCTCACTTCTAAGATCTCATGGTAGTTTTCCTTACTGTCTGCCGTACAATTCTTATGCTGTGAGTTTGGAGAATTTGGTATTGGATCAACTAATAATCCTTTGATTTACATTTTTCTTTATTCTCATCACCTGTCTTCTTGAAATTGTAGCGATATTATGGGGAGAAATTCTGTTTTGGTCACTCTTGGGAGTTAAGGGGATACTAGTAAACTGAGAGAGGCGCTACGATTTATTCATTTCCAATACGACGGCTCGTAACGACTCGTAAAACCGAGCTCTCGATCCGTAAGATCCGTACGGATCGTCTGTTATATTCACGAGTCGTATGGCTGTGCCGTCGACAACCCTCTTCGAAAAATCCTAGCTTAAAAACTGCGCTATCAGCTACATCGAAAATATGTTTCGAACCTGGCGGAAAATGAAAAGAATATAAACTGGTCGCATAAAGTGGAAACGGTATCGGCGTCGCTATATCAATCTATTTCCGATCAGTTCATCGTCTCCGAACTTTATCCGAACCTTTGCGGATTTGACTCTCGGTCGTGACATCCGCTCAGATAGAAATTAAATCCTCATAAGACCAAATTGACACGTTTACGGATAAATTCGTTCAGTTTTCCTTTCTTCTCTGGTGTTTAGTTAGATACAGAAGGAGATCGTGCGTCGAAAGCCACAAATAAGTTCTGTTTTCATTTGTATTTACTTCTCAGGGTATTAAGATTACATAGATAAGTGCTAATTTTCCTTCGAGTTCAACTACTTCACCAGCAGGATCAACCCGCTAAATTGACTGGTGACATTGAAAACAAAACCAAGATATTGAAACTTGGAATTGAAAGGTGCACTTCCCCCTTGGTAAAAAATTGAGAAACTTGATAACAACACTTTATTCCCTTACAAAAATATTTAACAATAGAATATTACTTACTGTGAATCGTGGGCTTGAATTTCTAAAACCTCTTGCGCCCTTTTCTTGTCTTTTGCACCTTCGCAATTCGCAGCCATGACAGCAATAATGAACCAACAAAATTTAGATCTTCCACCCCACGATATGGTTGATTTTGGAGGAAACATGATGTGTTCTTCAAAATAAAAGCTTAAAATCGTTGCGAATAAAATTATCTGAGTACATTCGTGCAATTTTTAATAAGATGAATCATCACAAGTGGTAAATATGTAAATTGGTGGCTTAAGAAAAACTGTTTCGAATTTGATTTACTCAGGTAAACAGGTGTACCGTGGAAATCAACCAATCAGTGAGCGCCTGATCACCATGATCATTCTCAATAGAATAGAAATTTCTTTGAAATAGTTCGATTTCATCCTCAAGGTGGGTATTATTACATCAGTTAAAATCTTGAGAACTGAAGATTGCCGGAAAAGCAGCGTTTGAGGCAAATAACAAGAAATAAAACGGCAGATTGCAAATAAACTGAACAATACGAGGGTCAAATTTAGTCCAGCGAGATATTTAGTACCAACCAATAAAAAGCTCCTCTTTGTTAATTTCCTTAATTCGATAACCACGAAATTTAAAGGGAATATAAATTATGTTCCCTCGGAAATTACTGATGAATCGCAAGCAGGCCCAAAATTTACCATATGCCGGTTTTGGTCAGGTGTCACACAGGGCGCTTTCGACGTTACGTCTCGTCCTTGCAGTGAGCGGGGCTTTTGTAGCACATGAATCTAGTGGTTTGCCAAACTCATCGAATCAATTCTCCTAATCTCAGTCACTGACGATCAAACTCGAAATTTTTATGGTCTAGGGCGCAATTCATCTTGGCTTAAATTCACTTAAATTCATTTTCGTTGTCCGGCGCCTTTAACAAAAGAGCTAAGTCTTTCTTTAAGTAAACCCATTCATAACAATTATAACACATTTTACCGAGGTAGACCCTTCGGCAAAAGCTGTCATAAATGGATGCCCAGGGCCCAACATTAACAAAAACAACATCATCAACAACTTTGATCCTACGGGTCCTCACTGTCATTTATTGCTCTCTTAAGATTTTTAAGAGATTTTGGATGCTGACATCCTCTCTTGAGATTGTCGACGACGGTCGGCTACGACGGTTAAACGAGAGTCACGCAACGTTTCACACCTTTGAGATGTCACCGTCGGAGCTTTGAAACGGTGCGTTTTCTCGCGGTTTCTCACCGTGGTGAAGACGGTTGAGCACGGTAAGAATTTATTTCAATGAAATGTCGGTTTTTTCCTCATTATTCCCTATGTTGTCAAGAATTATTTTTGTACATTCTTGAGCATGGGTTTTTCATGACGTTGAAAGTAATGCCACCTGGAAAATTGCTTTTTTGTGGAACAACACAAGGTTGGAAAGTTTCAGTAATGTTGGCGAAAAGCTTTTCTTATCATTTCATTTAGCTTGTTGATCATGGCAGCGAAAGAAACCTCTGTTGAGAAGTAAGTAATTTTTCCTGACTGTTGTTTTAAAAGCGTAATATTTAAAGTTCACGGAGAATTTACTACGGTAGAAATGTTCATTTGCAGACGTTTTTGAGTCTACATGTCCGGCAGCCGAACACGTTTTTGAAAGTACTCCGTGTCCGGCAGTCAGAAATTCCTACAGAAACACTCCCGAAATATTCTTTCAAATATCTTAAGAGTATTAGATGTTTCATTTTAAATGTCATGCGATTTTAAAACTTAATTTGAGTTTTAAGTGGAGGAATTTTCTAAGCTTGTGCATACCGTAAAATCGCAAGCTTTTCGACACTCACTAAAAGACACTCGAATGAATCCAAACAAAGTGGATCAAAATTCCAGTATGGATATAATGGATTAACGGACTCGTAAAAATTGTAAAGACTCAAAAACTCTTCATCATCTAGGGAATCATCGGCATAAGCCACTACTAGCACGTTTCCGACATCCTCGACGGACAAGTTAACCACTGTCTTCAGTCTGTCCGCGAAATCTTAAAGGACAACAAGCGTTAAACTTTCGCGTCCTTTAACGGTAGTCGACCCAGTCTACCGAAGACACATCCGACCGTCGTAGCCAACCGTCGTCCGCAATCTTAAAGTTCCTAATGTGTACGCGGGCCGTCAGGAACGTCTAAACTGGAAATCTTTGAAGCAAACCGCGGCTTAGCGTCGGCTTCACGGGGAAGATTGCGATTGTAGTAAATTGTGCTTGGATTCTGAGTTGGATTTGTGGCCGCCGGTCATTTCAAGCTTGGGAGTGTGCAGCCTTGGGCTTTTCTTATGTATGTAGAAAACCTCGAAATAGATAACTGGCTGAAATGGGTTCCCTTCAACGTAGTAAGCGCTCAGATTACAAGAAATGCACTGTGGAAGTAAGGTGAGGTATTTTTTGTGAATATTTGACCTAGTATGGTAAAATTTCCGCACAGCCCCATACTATATTATACATTCAGTTCTTGAATAGAGGAAACAGTGACAAAAACAGTACATTGCCATTGGGAAAACAGATTTGTTTTACAATAGTATGGGGCTGTGCGGAAATTTTACCCTTTTTTTTTTATTCCTTAGAGCGATCATAAATATTCCCATACAAACTCTTATAATTTCGCCATGACTTTTATTTCGTAAGATGATCATCTCACAGCTGGAGCTTGAGTCGCCTGTGCACGCAGCGGCTTTGGTTGCGTTTTTTTCACGCATCGAAAGGCAGTTTACAAGTGAAAATTTTCACACAAAAAAAAAAAAACATTATCAACAACAACAAATTTAAATTCACCGTTGTTAACGCTCTATTTCCGGCCCGATATTGTTTAGAGGTTGTTAATTAGACCCTTCTCGTATCCACAAATTTGCATTAAATTTAAGAATATGCAAGCCTGACTTCGCAGGGGCGAGAAACAGATATTGTCCAAGTGATCGAAATTGCCGATGTGTGATGAAAGTCTATCGCTACTGCCTATCAAGGCCAAACAAAGTTTGCCTGAGCTACATGTATGTCAAAGCTACCTAATGTTACTCAGCAGAACTGTTTATTCCTTAGTAAGGGGAATTTATTTAGCTGCCTGTAAACTGCATATTCAACACTTACGTTTCTTAAACCAATATGTGAACGTCAAAACCATCTGAAGAAGTGAAGTTCGCAAATTCAATCGATCCCAGCTCACTCTTGAAGTTTTCCGTGGAAGTAGGTTGTTTAAGAATCGAGTCTACATTTTACCCCTGGTATGCAGTCTTCAGTCTGCATTTTACCCTCAGTCTGCACTTTACTCCCGGGCTGCAGTCTGCGTTTCACACTAGTTTGTTTCTTGCAGCGGTTCTTTCGACTGGGAAAAGAGTCGCTCTTTCTTCACGCTTGCAGTGTAACTATCTCTTAAAGAACTCTGTGAAATCCTTGAGATTCTGCGGCAAATGATCCAACCTTATTTATATAATAAGCTCAGTTATGCACACATTCTGATTGGTTCTCACTTATGATCTATTGGAGGAAAGACGTATAGACGACGTCATCATTAAAACCTTTTTTAATTCTTTATTATATAAAACAAATAGATTCCAAGTTGCCGTGCGTCTGTTCAGTAATAGATCACAGAGGACGTCAAAATGTGGTAAGAACATCAGTGACACACTCGGCTGCGCCGACCGTGGCACTGTTTACAAATGCAAGCACAAACCGCGTGGACGTTGAAATCCAGTGACGTAAGCGCAATGCTGGTCGAACATTGTCCTCTTCTTACTTTTATGCTAAAAATCACTCATAATCTTTTCCTATATCCTTAAAGCAAAGTATATATTTGAACTCGGACGCTGAATTGCAAATTAACCCCAAAATATGGAAAATGAATTCACTTAATTATTGTTGTTTATCTCGATAACATTTCAGGCTACGACGTGCCACTTCGTAAAAACATATTATTAAGTTACATAATTTTGCATAGGTTAAAGTGACGTTACAGACCACGATTTGTGTCAGGTTTTCGCTTCCGTTTCACCATGCGGGGGAGGGTACCGCTACACGTGGGCTGCAAATGCTCTGTAAAACACTGAGTCACTGCATAAGTTTCATGGATCATTGAGGGTTCCAAAGGAAACACTTTTAGCGTGTGGCGTGATATAACATCATTATAGCCTTGTTACTCGTGTGGCGTGATATGACGTAATCTTTTTCGGGGTGGCTCTCAACCAATGGACGAGCGGGAACAAAACTAGAAAATAACAAAGAAAATTAAAGAGTTGGACCTTGTAATGTAGACCGTTTTCTCCTAACTTTGTGGATGTAAGTTCAACTAAGAGACGCGTCGAACTGCTCTCGCTGAAATTTGAAAATTACGGGATAAACCGAGGCAGAAGGAAGGAAGATAACTTGGATTCCCTTTAACTCCAAGCCAGTAGGAGAAACCTTTGCTTTCTTTCAGTGGTTAGTTAATGTCCAAAAGTCAAGGAAGTATTGATCATGTATAATCTTACTGAATAATATCTAACTTTCAAAATTTTTAAGATGGTTTTATGTACTTTCCCGATCGAAATATGCCTTTCGGGGCTCCAAATGTTTTTAGTAACTATGCTTGTGGATAACAGGGTAATTTAGTATTATCAACTGAGTTGATAACGTAAAGTGGCCACTGTAAAGAGTTTTAAAGCTGACGTTTCGAGCGTTAGCGCTTCGTCAGAGCGAATGAGGATGGACTAACGCTTTGACGAAGGGCAAATGCTAGAAACGTCAGGTTTGAAACTCTTTGCCGTAGCCATTTTACGTTATCAACTCAGTTGATAATACTAAATTACCCTGATATACTCTCCTACTGACGCAGCACCACTGTTTATTTCAAAACTTATTCCCTTTATGCTTGCCCATGCCTGATTCTAAAATTGATATAAATCAAAGGGATCAAAAGCCGGTGCAATTTTCTTGCAGTGAAGTGTTGTTTACATTGTTCTTGAGTTATGAATCTCAGATGCATTTTCTTGTTGATAGCTGTATTTAGAATAAGAAATAATCGAACTTAGCGCCTAGCGAGTTCTTCTTGACATTTTTTTAAAGAATTGAAAGTACGATTTGGCGGCCGAAAAGTGTCCCCATTAAGCGCGCGGCCAAAACAATCATGCTACATAGCTGTGACGTAGAAAACTGTGAAGGCAATGATGGTGGAGAAATCTAGTAGAGAGGACGAAAGTATTGCGTCGCCGAAGCGCCAAAAGTTCGGATATAACGTGCGGTGTCATTGGTTGAAAGAGCGTGCTCTATGAGAGTATAGAGCATAGAGCTGAGCTAAAGCTGTCACACCATCTGCCAAACTGTACTATGTTCGACCTTTTCCGGGACTTCCTTGTAGCTTTTTTCCGATAATTGAAAGCGAAATTTCGGAACGAGCGAGCCGGCAAGTAGCAACAGAAGAACCAAACAAAGGTTTGTAAACATACCA